CCCCAAAACCCCAAAACCCCAAAACCCCAAAACCCCATAATTCTAATCTACATTAATATTTCGATATTCTATAAATTATAATTATAAATCATAAGATATGGAGTCATCGTAAGATACTGATCAATATTACTATCTAATTGATGAGTTAGAAAAAATTACTCAAGGCACTAATATTCTTGCTGAACGAGCCTTATTCGAAGGCGATTTCAAAAACTTAATGCTTCACAAATTCGATGTCATGATTTAGGAGCTAGGAAAAGCAAAATTGGTATAAGATAGATCAAAGATTGAAGAGCTCATGCCTGTTATTTATGAAGAAAAAATAGCTATGTAGACAGTTAGAGATGTATATCGAAAAGTTATTGATTCAAATAACCCTGAAAGGTTTGAAACAAGAGTTATGGAAAGCAGAGAGTACAGCCATACCCTAAAAGTTAATTATAAAATCACAGATTTTCTTAACAGCATATTTTTGCCTTTGGTCTCTTAATTCTTCATTGACTAGGTGCTGCAAGGTCTCTTATCATAATTTGATAGACTTTGTATCGAAATGCTGGCCATTTTATCTGAACCTGAGATTGACTATAGTTCAGGAATTTTGAAAATTCAAGAAATCGCACCTGGTGTCAAAGAGGACTGTATTAAAAGAATTTTTTCAGAGGTTAACTAACTTAAGGATAATAGGAAAAACCATGCTATTTTTTAGAAGCTGTCAAGTTATGAGAAAGAAAATGTTAAAGAAAATAGATAGCTGGAGCCAGATTTGAAGGTAGATTTAATAAGAAGAGAAACTATTCATGCTGATAGGTCCAAAATTCAAGCCAATATTAAGGATTCAAAGAGAAGAACAGTGATTTTTAAAAATTAGGAGGCTAAAGCTTTTTATCAAATGTTCTTTAGTGACCGCAAAAAGATTGATGTTGAAGCCTAGGATGTCTGGTACTATTTCTGCCTCTATTTCTAGTAAAGAACTGGTAGGACTATCTCGGAAGATTAAGAAAATAAGCTAAAGTTCATGGAAAGTTTGTCTGAGAATTAAGAAGAATGGATAAAACTAAAGGAATTGGACCAATTTTTCTAGTAATTCGTAAAATTTGAGATTGATGATATCAGTATTGATGAGTTTAAAATAAGTGGTTAGCCAAAACCATAAGAGTAAGTAGTATCAAATGAAACAGAAATAGCTGCAACTACAACTGTAGTAAATTATACATTAAAATACAGAAGAGAGTTTAAACCTATGAAAAATTACAGCGTCAAAGTAGTTGTTGAGGATGATTTTGATGAAAATAGAGAAGATTACATTCAGCTGTAGAAAACTGTTGGCATTATGAAAAGAGGCTACAAAAAGAACTTCTAAGTAGCTACATCAACAACAGTTAGGTTTGGAAAGGACACCACTTGTAACCATTATATTCCTCTTGGCGAAGAGATTGACCCATTTTGTTTCAATATTTGCAATAGGAATGGTGTGCTCTTTATCTAGGATGTAAGTGACGAGAAAGTTCAAACTAAGATTTAAGTGAACAGCACTCACCAATTCAGATTAAATCAAGGAGACTACTATGACATTGGATTAGCTTAAATCATTCATATCAGGAGAGCTACTTCAAAAGTAGGACTTAAGCCTTCCAATGACAGATTTATCAATATAAGATATGTACCTCAAAGCATCTCATCAGAACTCCAAAATTACATAACTGGAGATTTCCATCTTAGTGATAACCCAGAATTAGAAATAGAATATGAAACCACTGATCATTAGAAGAAATATCATAGATTCACTCCATAAGATGGAAAGATAATGATTGGAAGAGATGCGTCAGCCAATATCAGAATTGAAGAAAAATTGAGAAGTGTGAGTAAACTTCACTGTTACATCGAGTATAATGAAGAACTTGGCTGGATATTAACGGATCCAAGATCTACATGCAAAACCTGGGCTCATCTAAAGACTTACAATCAGTCTAGAAACACTTCTTTAAACTCGTATCCAGTTTTGATGTACCAGGACATGTACGTCAAGGTACTTACCTTCCTCTTTAGATTTACCTTTGAGGAATGTCAATGAAGAAATTAGGGAATTCGAGATAAATCAAGATGCATTCAACGAAGGTTATTTCAATCTATTTTAATAATCATTTAGATTTATATTTATTGCTACGATTTCAAAATGGAGGGGTTTTGGGGTTTTGGGGTTTTGGGGAGATCGGAAGAGCACA